AAATTTTGCGGCCGGAGCTGGTCATAACCCGAAAAGTTCGTTAACAGAAGCGTTCGTAACCTGAGGTTCCACTGTATATCCCATCCAGAAGACAATTACATTACCACAAATTAGTTAAGTGTCCTTGCTTAGAAATCGTACTTCTCTAAAATCAATTATCCTCAATAACAAGTAAAGATTTTGGCTGTAAGGATTATCATATCTATTTTCAAGTATTTTCTAAGACTGTTACGTGTACGCTCATTTACCTGTTTCCTGATCACTAGGATGTCTCTTGTCTACTGTTTCATGCCGGTACTGAGTGAGAAGTTCTTATCTGAGCAAGACATTATCAAACCAGGGCTATTTTGCCTGGATTTGGCTATTAAGACAAATTGTGGTTAGTTGAGAACAGAAACAAATGCTTTTTCTTTTCTTTTCTGGCTGCATTGGACAAACAGCTTATAAACTTAAATTTGTTCATTTGGCATTAAATCATTTTTGTTGTTATACTGAGTGCAGACAGTGCATCAAATAGTTTTAGTCTGATATCTCCCTGTAAACATTACCATTTTTATTTGTATGCTTAGTGTCTTATAAACAGAAATATGCACAAATGTTTAATTGCTATATATTATCCATTTATAGCAGTCCTATAACATTCAAATGGTACTTTTACCACATGGGATCTAAGGATGTGTAAATCAGTAAAAATCTTACCTTCCATATTGTCTACACAGTAAGAAAACATTTTGATAGGTTTTTTTTAGTAGTATTTTTCTTTAATTTTTTTAATGTAGAATTTTTTTAACTGTTTACATTTGCATAATCTAATATTCATAGGCTTTCTACGCCTATGTAGAAAGTCTAATCACTAGACTTTTAAAACATTTAAGCAATCTTTATAAAGTATAAAGAAAACATGAGCATGAAACATTTTCTACGTATCTCTTTCCAAATATTTTTTAAAAAGCAATATATCCTGCTTTTATTCTTGGTCACATATTTTTCCCATTGCAAGGTTTTTCATGTTAGTATTTCCAACAGAAATTTTCTTTAAATGCAAGGGTCACTGCTTTTGTTAACTTTCAGTAGTCTACCTTCTTTTCAGATTTTTGATTTGGGAAAATTGAATGCTAGGTGGATTTGATTTTATGCTGGTATTCATGCTGCTGCAAAGTTTGATGGAGCAAAAGCATGAAATTAATTTCTAGTGATATTGTGGTGGAATTATTTTGCATCCTTAATAGGATATAGCTTTGCAGAAATATAATCATACAAAGAAAATCTATGTATTTTCAGTTATCTCAGAGAGTATAATTTATATGTTTAGTGTAGTGGAGAAAATAAATGTAACAAACAAAAAGAGGATCTCTCCCTATCTTTTAGACATGAGTAGGGTCAAACCCAGTTTATCTCTCTGCCTAATCCTGTCAGAGCCAAACTGATCCTCCTTGCCCCTAGACCAAGCCCCCCTGCAATCCCATCTAAACCAAAGAATAGAAACCTCCTCACCAGCTCACAGCACAGCCCAAGGGCAGCTTAACAAGGGAATTGCAACACAGAGAAACCCCAACCTTCCATCCTCTGAAAGCTGATGACCTCAACATTACATCTTCACAATGGACTTCCCCAGCTCTGCTGCCCTCCCTGAGAGACCCATTTTGTACAATAGAATGCCAGGTATACTGACAAGGGCCTGCCTAGCTTCCCCAAAGGGGCCAGCAAATCAGATCCCTAGGATTTCACACCTTGTGACCTTCAACATCTATAAAAATCTTTGCTTTTCCATTGTTTGGGGTCCCTCTTGTAAAGGAGGCACCCAATGATTGTTGCAATAAAACTTGGTTCTTCTCAATGATGTGCTCCTTCAGAGTGAACCCACAACATTTAGTACTTAGTAAATGTTAAAATTCTTTCTGTTCACTAGGAAAAAAAAGGAATAAAATATATTTTTTATTCTTTTTCTAGTTCTAGTCTGCAGAAAAAGTGCTTTTCATAAACTCAACAACTTGATCTTTCAAAAGATAACATCTCTGCATAGTTGCCATGGTTATGTTTGCATGGAATTGGAAGGTAGAATTCTTGAGGAACATTATTATTTGTACACACATGTACAAGCACACAGAGATTAGAATACAACAAATATGAAAAAGAGATACATATTCACAAAAAATTCTTCACTATTCTGGCTTACCTATAAATGAACAGCATGCTAATGCACACTGCTATGTTTGCTCTTGCCTGCTCTTCTGGTCAACAGACATGCTTAAATTTTTTTTACAACTCTGTCCATGATTTATTTACTTTGTCACCTAAATCAGAAACTCTGATGTATGTTTCTTGGAACAAGTTAAGATCAGAAGATACAGTGTGACAGCATCATGCTCATTCATTGGTAACCCAGAATTCTGAAGAATTCTGTTTTACCATTCTCTGTAATTGTGGCTGTTTTATTTTTCTTTAATTTATTTTAAATATTTCTATAAACAGGATTCTTCATAGGTTATGAGAGAAAGTAATAAATCCTGGGTGCTGGAATGCTTACTAGTCATCAGAAACATTTTTAATCTGCTGTTAACATCCTGTCCAGAGTTCTGGCAATCATCATACACAAGGCAAAGTGGTCCACAAGAGGAACAAAGGCTTTGTTCCATCGTTCTGACTTTTTATTAATAGGATGGATAGTTCTCCTTTTGGAAAGGAAATTAGCAGACTTTAAAAAGTCTGCTGAAGTATATCTAACAGGGTCATGAAAATCCCACACTCCCCCTACCAGTAAATAATTAAAAAATAGTAGTCTGTAGTGGAAGTTTGCCAAAGTAGAAAATTGAAACTGCTTTCTTAAGTTTCCACAAAAAGGATTAAAAGCTTATCAAAGATTTTTTACTAAGTGCTCTGGATTTTACAAACTTTTACCAGTAGACTTTATAAGCTGAAATATGATTTTTGAGGAAGATGACCTACAACAGTAATGCATTTCTTAGGCTGCTCTCACATTTAACTTGTGTAATTGGAATCAAGAATAGATGCTGATTTTTTTTTTTTTTAACTAGAATGGTCTTAAGATTTTTTTTTCTTCACATGAGTAATCATGGGGCATATAAACAAACATGGAAGTTATGTTACTGAAAACAGTTTCATACTGCTAATGTCTCCTACATAGACAGCAATCATAAATTTTCATTTATATTACTTCTACTGAATTGTAGAAGCCAACAAAGACCAAATGAGCTGAATATTTGAGGAACAACTTGAATTGGAATAGCTTTAAGAAATGTTCATTGTTCTTCTATATGCTAAAAAGTATTGATAAAATATAACTTAGGACTAATATTGAAGAGAAAGAAGATTAGCATCCATGTTTAAGAATGTAAGTAAAGTCTTCTTCAAACTAAGCTTGATTCTTGTTGACTTCATGGATGCCTCCATGTAGTTTTATTGGCAACAATATAGAAGTGATTTGCTTGTTTTGCTTTATCTCCCAGACTTGCCTACAGATCTGCTATTTCTTCGTGTTTTCCCATCCAAGAAGAATCGGTACAAATGTGCAAAAGGCAGTCTTTGGGAAGAGTGAATTTTGCACACAGCTACTAAGTCCAATCCTGCTTAGCTTTTCAACATCTAATATGCTGTCACGTAGAAGGATGTTTAAAAATATAGCATGTTTAAAAAAAACAACTGCATTGAAGAGTTGCTTTTTTTTAACTTGTTTTCTCTCCAGCACGATTATGATGCAATGTCTGTTATAAAATATAGTTTTTTGAATTTTGTACAAAGTAGAAAAAATAATTGAAACCTTACATGGTTTAAGAAATTATATCCTTAAAAGAGCACTAAATAATACAAACTAAAAATGGGGGGGGGGATTTTAACATAAAAAAATGAATATAATATTTCTCTACTTTTTTACAATAAATGTAAATACATTTTTAAACAACAAATTAAAGCTTTTTGGGAACACATAATTGCATTTTTTGCAACAGTCCAAAGGCAATATATCCAAATAGACAAATACCAGTGTTTGTGGATATAGCTCAACACAATGATGTCTTTAAACCTTAAGATTCTTCGACTGACTGGTGCACCATAGTAATGATATCTAACCCAAAAAGAACTACCAGTGGAGAAGAATAACACACACTAAGATCAATAAAATACAATACAATAACTTTAATGCAGTCATCAACCAGCACACACTAAAATCAAACTTATTACATTGCCAGCATAGAAAAGATAACCTTTTTTGAAAACCCACTCAGGAATTAAAAAATCCCCCAAAAGAATATTTTGTACTATCATTGTTTTTCAACTGTAAGAAGCCTATATTATTAAATCCAGCAGTTACATGCAAGAAAAAGCATGTATGAAATATATATTCTAAAGCATTCCGAATCAGCCTTGTGATTTAGCATATTAGGTTAGTGAAAAAGCAATGTGAATCAGTCTGCTAATATGTATCACACCTCACTAATGTGTAAAGGAGATCTAAGCCATGCAGCTGATACCCTTGTTCTACAAAATGCATTATTTACAGAGAAAGAGTGCAGCAACCGATCAGTACTGTATGTAACATATTAAAAGTTAAGTGATTTTTTAAAAAGTCAAGATTAGGAGGTAACAGGTTGCAAAATTGAAACGTTCCTCAGCTGAAATGCTTCTCAGGATTGATGTGGCAAAAGGTGATAAAGGACAGGTCAGTTACACTCTGTAGGCAAGATGTTCCAAAACCAACCTAACTTGACAAGCGTTGCCTCATGTGCCAGGCACCTCTTCACTTGGCAGTCATCCAGCTCCCTGCCCCACCTTCCTTTAAAGAGCCTTTAAAAAAAAAAAAAAAGTAATGAAAGCTAGCATGCTGCACAGCAAAGGACTTCATT